GTATGATCCCTCGGGGTCCTGGCTGGACACCCGGCGCACACCCTTCCGCTACGGCTACAACACCTGCTCCTCGGGGTGCGAGGGCGAAGGCGTCGAAGGCATGAGAGGGCACAACTACCGGCATTACGGCTATCAGCAGCCAGTCTGCTCCGAGAGATGCCATGGCTACACTGCGGCTAATTCGTGCCACGGAGGCGGGGGCTCGAGCTGCGTCAGGAGGCCCACGTACAGCTACGGGTCATCAGGGGGATGCCACAGCTATGGCAGGTCGGTCTGCTCCGAGAGGTGCCAAGGGTCCTCTGGTTCGTGCCACGGAGGTGGTTCAAGCTGCGTCAGAAGACCCACATACAGCTATGGGTCATCAGGGGGATGCCACAGCTACGGGAGGTCGGTCTGCTCCGAGACATGCCACGGATCGGGGTACCAGGGGGGGAAGCCGTGCTACGGCAAGCCAACGCAGCGCGTCCCGCAGTGCTGCCCCGTGCAGAGCTGTCCACCTCCGGTGCAGCAAGGCTGCGTGCCCGCGGCAAAGTGCATCCCCAGCCAGCAACAAAAGCAGGTCTGCAAAGTGCCAGCCCGGAAGATAAAGTAGAGGACTTGAGGAGTGGGGATGGATGGGGGAAACTTCTCACTCTCGCAGCTTTGCCCCGATGGGTGGCATGTCCCACGTCGCTCACGGGTCTCCACTCTTCCTTCTCATTTTGCTTGTAACGTGCTTTGAAGGTGTAACCCACTGACTCTGTGAAATATTAAGTGCTATTCATCTCCTTATTTCACAGCAGACGTGGAGGCAATAAAAAATTATGGTTCATAACCCCCCTTGCATCAGTGTTTTCCACTTCATCCCTTTGAGTTGCTTCTGTTTCTTCTTGTGGCCAAAGCTGGTGTTTGCAGCATCCCCGGTCACCCTCACATCAAGGTTCCTGGTTGACTCAACCTGATGACTTTTTATTCCTACTCCAGACAACTTCCTTGTTGAGAAGGAACTAACAGTTTTCATCACGGACTCTTTATGCAACCCAGCAACTCAATACTAATATACTAATGCAAAAAGCCCACACACTTCATCAAAGAGGTAAAAATGAGAGGGCACATCACTTCATTCCTTGATGAGGCAATGGGTGCAGTTTGACTTGTATCAGAAACCTCCAAAATTAGTCCTGGGAAAAAAAGTCAGGAAAAGGATTCAGGAATAGGAATGGACAGCTAGTGTAGAGCAAGAGGGGATGCTGAAGCTTGTGGAAGAGAAATGCCCTGGCCCATGGTCCATTAGACCTTCAGAGACCCCAAATGTGACAGATCTTGTCTCACCCCAAGGGAGGCAGCTCCTGCAGGACCTGGATGTCTTCAGCAGCTCAGTGACACTCAGTGCCACTCTGATCACTGAGAGAGATGTTGGGAAAGACCAGGGAGGGGTGAAACCTCTCAGAGCTGAAGACTCTGATCCAAGGAGAAACGGGGATCATCTGGCCAGGAATACACATCAAATAGAAATTAGAAATGAATTTGTAGACATCAGGGGGGCATTTGGTTGGACCTTCTCACTCTAACAGGGTGAAAGGCCCCAAACTCCTTCCAAGATGTGGCCCGGTAGGGTCAGAAGGGGAATCACCTGGGAGGATTGCTGCAGCAAAGCAGGGATCTGGAGTCAGTGACTCACAGCATCATGTCCCAGGTGGCTCCTCGCACCTCACCCAGCCCAGCCGAGAGCCTCCATCGTCTCCATCTCCCGGTGTCCTGCCTGGCCCAGCCTGCAGGATGTGACACATCGCAGCGTCAGCCACTTCACAACATTAATGGTCGAGATTTCTCCAGCTGAACGATCTGGATAAGGAAAAGAAATAAAAACAGGCACAGGGTGTCCCTTCCTGGAATGGAGGTTTTATTGGTGGACACATAGGGGCTGGCGGCACGCTCTGCCCCGACACTGTAGCAAGCCTTCCTCACCAACCTCTTCCTTATGCATGGGCAGAGGCTGATGCCAACATGCGTTGTAGAGCACACAGTCCCCATCCCAAGCACTGTCCCAAGGGTTGGCCCAGCCCTGGGGCAGCCCAAACACCCACCCCATGGGCCATGCGGTGGACTGCAATGGCAACACCCCTTGTGCGAACCTCAGGGACCTCCCTGGAAAGAAAACTGCAAGCAAAACTACCGCAGCAAAGGATGGGGCGGTGACAAAGGTGTCCAAATCCACTTTCAATTCCCTTCTGGAGCTTGCTGTGGTGTGGAAGAGAGAGCTGGAGGAGACCTCAGGAGGGCAGCTCCGGCTTCCCACACCCCAGGGCAGGTGTTGTTCTGCTTAAGCTATTTTGACATAGATTTGTCCAACCTCTAATGAGAGGGATTTCATACAAGCAATCCTTGTCCGCAACAAATGAGAGATCATCTTTGTGTTTAAATCACCTCTCAGGGATTTGGAGGTTTGAACTTGTACCTGGGATGTCCCCCAGATCCTTCTAAGATCTTGTTTTTTTTCTGTTCTTCATGTATCTCCTTCATAAATAGAAAACTAATAACTGAAATATGGAATAATCATGACCACGTATAAGCCACCCAGAAACCATGATCCAAACTGGGGAACAAACCCACTCCTGAAACTTGTATTAGGACAATTCCTTCTATAAAACCAACAAATTACCCAAAGAAAAAAAAAAATGCCATCCACTCAGAATAGGATCAAGGGACACAGGGAAGCCTCTCCCAAAAACTAGGAGCTTTGCAGGAGATACGTGGGGCCCAGAGACCAGCTGTAGGGTCAGTATGGTCCTGTCTTGAACACGGATCCGGTGCGCATGAGCATCCCCTCCACCAGGCCGTGCTCAGGTGGATGTTTCTGTCGCCGAGAGAAATGATAAATGTGTTTGGCACCATCCACGTGATCTGGGGTGTAATTAGTGAATCGTGAATAATAGTTTCACAAGAATTTTTGTTCTTCTGACGTTTGTGAAATATCCTCAGACACAGTCTGATTTCCTCATGTATCAGTCTGTTCAAGTGATTCAGCTCCATTGGTTAGCAATGAATCTCCTCGACTCTCTATTTTATTTTAATTCGATCTGTGCTATTATTAATATCACAGTGGCCTCTAGAGTCCTGGATGAGATCAGGCCTGGTGTGCTCTGTGGACAGAAAGACACTTTTGTCCCCAAAGCAGAGCATTAAATCAACAGAGACGTAGATCCAGATGCCCTCCTCAATGTATACGTGAGGATGGAGGCACAGAGAGAGCTCAAAGAGTCACAACAATTTCCTCCCTGCATTTCCAATCAATGTGTAATAAAGGTAACCAACAGCAGATACTTGGAACAAGTATCATGGGAGCAGGACACTGTTGGAGACCTTTTGTCCTTCCAAGCCTGCTGCCCGGATGCTCACTGTCTCCTATTGGGTTTTAAATTCCTTCTGTTTGGGATAAAAGTCTCTCTCTGAGCAAAGAAAAGATTGACTTGAAATATTGCAACACTCCTTTCAGCCTTATTTTTTGCTGTTTTACTCAGAAATAGGTTTCTCTTTGATGCTACTGCCTGGCCACATCCCACCGCCTGCGTTTGCCCACTCTCGTCCTTCCAACCAGACACGTCCAGCAGGAGTTTGCTTCAAACACTCGCATCGCCATCTCCCACCTCTAAACCCCAACCCCAACCATCAGTGACAGCTTTAGAGCCCCGAGGCAACTGGACTCCTTTTGCAACCCACCAGGGCTGAGCCCTATCGCCCCGGCGGGGGCGGGTGGCCAGTGCTGACCCCCGGGGCTCGGAGGAGGATGCTCACACTCCTTGTTTTCAGGGCACCACACACACAGACCAGCCCCGGGCTCTTCACTCACGTTCTGCCACCCCATCATGTGCTCATACCTGCATCCTTAATTCCCTTTGTCTCCTTCGCCCACTCACAACCTAGATTTTTTTCCCAAGCTGCCCAAACGCACCGATTTTTTCCTACACACCGCCATCGCCTTATTTCTTCTCTTTCAAGCCCCTTTTATTTTCTGGATCCCTTTGCAAGCCAGTCCACCCCACTATCCCACCTTCCCATCCACTAACATTTTCGCATTGCCAACTTGGGCTGCTTTGCTTTAGGTACGAGAAACAGGTAAATTCTTTAGGCAGTGGCAGCAGGACCATCCAGAATCCTCCCCATCCCTGTGTGTGAACCACACCAGGCGTGGTGGGCAATTAACATTTTTATGGAGTAACGAGAGGAACGGCGATCCCAAAGGCGGGATATCGATCTGCTCGTAATACCATGAGTCAAAACAGCAGTGTAAAAACTCTCCAATTAGCAAAGTGCTCGGGGTGGTGAACAATCAAGTCCCTCCAGTGGGACCTCATCTTGTTTCCGGAGGAAAAGTACTGGGTGCCCTATAAAAGATCTCGCACCCCATTTCTCCTCATTGTCTCAGCTTCACGTCTCCTCTCAAATTACCGCTGAACAGGGTAAGTCGAGCTTGATTAAAATTTTGGACTTTTAATGATCACCAGCTTTGTCCTGATCCTGAGGTCTTGACCACTTCTCTTACACGTCTCACCTCTATGACTGTCTCTGGTCACAGTTTCTCAGTCCTTCCACCTAGGTTGTCTTCTCCATCCATGTCCATACATAAATGATAGAAAGCAATGAGGAAAACTTAAAACTTACTGGTTCAGATGGCTGAGGACAGGAAGGACTCTTCAGATCTAGCTCCGGACTCAGTCTGGCCACCACTTCTCACTAATCACTAAGTGCTTTAACTTTTATCTTATATATTTGTTAAACATGGAAGAGAAAGACTTGCTCAAAGCACAGCGTCTTCCATACAGGTCAAGGACCACTATGGGCAGCCGTGCATTGCTGATTTTTCTCTCTTCTTCAAGAATATGGCTTACAACAAGAATTTATTCTTGATGTATAATCCCATCTAACTAGACACCTGTTACCGCTGACTGGCAGACATCACGGTGTCTCTCTTGCCTTTGCACCCACTCAAAGATGATAGTCTTTCCAGTAGGTCTGCAAAGATGTGCTCCCGCCAGGACAAGGACCAGTGCCACCGGCAAGAGCGATCCTCATGCCACGGCGGTGAAGGGTGCCACGGGAGCAGCGGTGGATCTGGATGCCACAGGAGCAGTGGCGGATCCGGATGCCACAGGAGCAGTGGTGGATCCGGATGCCACGGGAGCAGCAGTGGATCTGGATGCCATGGGAGCAGCAGGGGATCCTGCCACGGAAAGCCACAAGATTGCCAGCAGCAAATCTACCAAGTATCCTCAAAGATGAAGTGATCAGGGCATTGTCTGCATGTTATACACACGCGTGTCCTTGATGGTGTGCTGAGTTCAGAAAGCTTTGCATGTCTCCTAGCAATGTGCAAAGAAAATGTCTCCTCTCCCTTCCCTGGCGAGTCCTGTCCTTCCGATGACCTTATCTGTGGGTGCTAAAATAAACTGCGCACATTCACACTGGTGTGGTTTTCTCTGTATCAGTCTGTGACTATATATGAGCCATTACAATTCAGAGTTCATGAGCTTCATGTGCGTGATTTTTCTTTCACCGGGTATTTCACACCACAATACAAGACACTCTGTGCTTTTTTAATAGCCCTGAAGTTACCCTGCCCAGACACGGTGGTAGGGGCAGGCACTGCCGCACTCTCCCCTATGGACTTCAATGGAAAAGAGAGAGAATAAAGATTTTTCAACGCTGACATTTTAGCAGGCCGTCTCAGGCCTCTGCAGTGCAGGCAGCTCTCCTCCATCCCACCTTCCCCCAGAGCCGGAGACCCAAATCCACCACCAAAACCCCATGGGCTGCATTGTACAAGCCCTCGGGACCGGCTATGGGCACAACTGTGGGGCAGAAAAAGTCCTCTAGGCAAAGGCACCCGTGATGGGGCAGAAATCCCTTTCTTTTTTGCCATCTGACCCCAAACGCCATCCTTGGGGCAGGTATCTCCACACACTTGCGACAAACCCCCCCAGCACGCCTTTCTAAAAACCCTCTGCCCGACACTCCAAGAGCCCTGGGTCGAGCCAGGGGCGTCGCAAGGTGCCGGCGTTACACAATGGACTGATAAATTTCTTCTCAGCTTGTAATTAAAGCGACTTGTGTAACGTATTGGTTTGGTATTGCCATTCACAAAATGGATGTTGCCCTGATAAGATTATTCGCGAGTGTGTCACGACGACCAGAAATATCTGGCATTGCTGAAAAGGGTGCAGGCGGCAGCTGACTCCCTGTGCGGGCTGACGGCTTTCGGTGTAGGAAGCAGCTTTCGGTGTAGGAATTGGTTGAAAATGCCGGTTGAGGGTTGCGTGACTCCGGCGTTTGCCTTAAGCCCCCATCGCAAACCCCATTTTTGATGCGTGTTAAGTTGGACAGCCACAAAACCTAGAGGTCCCCAGGACTGCTGGCTGAGTTCTGCTGATCTTTAATGAACTTGGAACAATTAAAGCATGAGGAACTGAATACAGTGTGATGTTGAGAGCCAAAAATTGCTTTGAGTCTTTTTTCATGGAGAGTATTTCCCACATTTCTTCTGATGCCAGAACAAAACGCAATTAAACAGAAGTGATCCAACCTGGGTACAGTTTGCCCTGACACTGTTCTCGTTCATAATAGCAATTAAGCAATACAAAAGAAGCATTTAGGTTGCGTAGCTGATTCATTAACCCTGCCCTGTCCACCCGCCTTTCCAAAAATCCTCTGTGTTTCAGTAACAGCAAATGTGTCAGATGTTTTTTGGGTTGCGGGAACCACTCAGGACTTGCAGTGCCTTAACGAGGTTTTGGGCACCTGCGTTCAAAGCAGGAGCTCACAAGAGGATAGAGAGGCACCACAGTGCCCGGCAGCTTGGGCAGTTTTCCAGCTGCTTCCCGAAGGATGCCGGGTCTCTCAAACAGCGTTAGCCAAGATGGGATGGGGTTAATTAAGCCGAGCATCTGGAAATAGCATGAAAACTCAATCAGCGTGGAGAAAGATAAAAGGCAGGAGAGGTGGGCCAAAAATACCAAATGCTCAAGCATCTCTGCAAGCAACCAAACTGCGTTTTCCAAGCACTTTTCATAGAATCACAGAATGGTTTGGGTTGGAAGGGACCTTAAAGCTCATCTCTTTTCAGTCCCCTGCCCAGGGCAGGGACACCTCCCACCAGCCCAGGTTGCTCCAAGCCCCATCCAACCTGGCCTTGAACACCTCCAGGGATGGGGAAGTGTTTTGTCAGTGTTTTGCACTGAGAAAATCATGGTAGTTCCCTATTTCAGCTGGAAATGCTGATTTTAGTCTTTTATTTACTGCCTGTTTAATAACTGAAATGCCTTCCACAGTAATGGCAAAAAAAGGGCAAAAACAAGATCTGTGGTCCAAAGCACTCCCCAGCCGATGCCGCAGAGGTACAGGAAAGGTACAGGGATTATCTCAAATTATTGCCTGCAATTAGCTCTCACTGCAAACGTAGTACCCTGACTGGCCTGAAGGCTCGCGTGGGTCTGTGCATCCGTCTGAATAACACTCAGATTTGTGGGCCAGTTATAAGGTAATTGGGGAGCAGGGAAAAGTCCCCCAAAAAGGATGTTCCTACAAGTTTGGAGAAAATCCCAAGAGTCTGCCAGCTCCCTGCAATGCGGCAGCCACCCCAGGCCACCGTGCGTCACCCAAGGCAGCACCCACGGGAGCCCTTCACCTCCGCGTGGCAGCACCGAAGCTGCTCACAGCCTGGAAAAAAAAACCCACGGGCACTGCTGCTGCCGGCATTACTCACGGACTGAAAGTTAACCACGTAATTATGTACCTCGCTCACCCTGGATCACCACCTAGGGCAGGTCTTCCCCCTTCCAAAAATAAGAATCCCAACTGCTTTTGGTCCTTCTGGCAACAGCAGGAAACTTTTGACCCACAAAAAAAGTTTAATAGGGGCTGTCTTTTCTCTCTCTTCACCACTCCACTGTATTTCAGCCGGTTGTAAGAGAAATGAGCCAACAGTGGTACCCATCAAATTGCTGCTAAGAGCAGAAGAGTAGTCTACCGTGCCAAAAGCGTTATTCATAGAATCATAGAATGGTTTGTGTTGGAAGGGACCTTGAAAATCATCCAGTCCCGTCCGCCCCACGACGGGCAGGGACACCTCCCCCCAGCCCAGGTTGCTCCAAGCCCCGTCCAACCTGGCCTTGAACCCCTCCAGGGATGGGGCAGCCACAGCTTCTCGGGGCAACCTGCCCCAGGGGCTCACCACCCTCACAGCCAACAATTTCTTCCTAATATCTAATCCAAAACCCCCTTCTTCCATTCTGAAGCCATTCCCCCTCGTCCCATCACTCCATGCCCTTGTAAAAAGTCCCTCCCCAGCTCTCCTGGAGCCCCTTTAGGAACTGGAAGGGGCTGTAAGGTTTCCCTGGAACCTTCTCTTCTCCAGGCTGAACACCCCCAACTCTCTCAGCCTGAGCGAGTTGGTATATACAGGCACATCTCTGGGTTTATGGGCATTTGCAGGACTAGAGGACCTCAAGATATCTGAAAAGGATGGTGTGATTGAAGTATAGGACATAAATCCCTCTGCTAAACTCAAAGCTCTCCCCGGCTGTGATCAACACCACAAGCAAACTGGTAAAGCTGTGGAAACAGGGGCCACCCACACTACTCCCCCATCCCAGCCGAGCGCAGGTAGAGCTGGCAATTAAATATTTCTGCGACACAGGAAAGACGACCGATAACGAGAGGCGAGACCCGGCGCGGATGAGGTGAGTCACGCCGGCAGCCTGAAGAGCGGAGAGGCGAAAAAAAAAAAAAAAAAAAACCCAAACCAAAAAGCCATCAACGAATTAAATGAAGAGACCTCTGCAACAGGGAGGTGCTTCGCTGCCAGACGGGGTGCGCAGAGAGGGTATAAAAGTGCTCCTGGCCCGGAAAGCCTCATTCTCTCCTTGCCCTTTGCTGCACGAGCATCTCAGGTAAGAGCGGCGACGCTGAGGGGCTTTGGGGCTCGGAACCCTCCAGATGGGTTGGGAGCAGGCTGAGCCCCACGTCTTGTGCTGGATTGGGGCTTATGAGCAGGGAGGTGGGATGAGGAGGGAGTGCCGGGGATGCCGAAGGAAAGCAGAGAGATTTGGACTTGGAGGGAGGCTCTGGGGTGTTGCTCTGCTCCCTCCGGCAGTGAGACAGCTCCGCGTTGGAAAGCCAACCGTGGTGAGACCTGCCCAGCTGCTCTGGATGCTCCCAGCGTCTATGGCTTTGGTGGGACAATCCCACGGGCAGTATAAGAAGCCGGTGCAAGGTTTAAAGATGATTGTGGGGTCTGGCTAAGACTAGATAAACGTACATCCATATTTCTCTTTCCTGGAAGAGCAGCAGCAGGAAAGGAAAGCCCCTGACAGCTCTTCTCTCCCCACAGGTCACCCCGAAACACCACCATGTGCTCACGCCAGGACAAGGATCAGTGCCACAGCCAGGAGCGTTACACCCGCCAGAGCAGC